GGCGCTGGCCGCCCGCCGCCATTTTGAGGCGCGGGGAGCCGAGGGGGAGGAGAGCCCCGCGGAGGTAGGAGCGGGGCCGGGAGTCGGCGGGGCGTGGGGCCGGGCCGGGCTCGCCCGATCGCCCGCCCGCGGAGGCCCGATCTCTCCTCAAGGCGCCTGGGAGCTGGCCTCCCTTCCCCGCCCCGGGGACGCCCAGACATGCATCGCCTAGGCGGGACGGCCGGGCCCGCCCGGGCTGAGGGAGCGTCTCCCCGGGCTCCTTGGAGACCGCCTGGCCGCTGGAGGAGGAGGGAGCAGACCGCGTCTCCGGCGGCCTCTGCTTCCGCCTGTTGCCGCGGGCCCGGCCCGGAGGAGGGGCCGGAGGGGCCGGGAAACCTCCCCGGGCGCCGCCGGGCCAGCCGGCCGCGGGGCTCTGGGCCTTGAGGCTCGGGCAACCGCGGCTCGGAGAGGAGTCGGCTGTTCTCGCTGGTACGGAGGATCGCGGCGATCAGCAAGAAGCTGTTGGAGGAGGGTTGAGAAATGTCGCTGCCAGGACTTAATTAAAAAAAAAAAAATTTTTGCTGGCAATAGACGTGGGTGGTGGGGAGAAATTTGCCGTCTCTGGAGTCCATTTACGTCCTAGCGCACCATTCCCCGCTGTGCGCTACCAGGCGTGGATTAGGTGGATGCAGGGCGGTAATCCTATCCTAGTCTTCAGAACAAGTCCTTATGCATAAAGAAGTAAATCTCATTTTGGGCTGCTGGCTTGATTAACAGAAAATGCAGCGAAATAAGAGGGTCGGCGGTTAGTACAAATCCGTTTCCTTGGATTGGAGCCAGCGAGTGACTGTCTGAGGGCTGGGCTACCTCTGCAGCAGGCACCCATCCCCTCGTCGTGGGGCAGTGTACCGCTTTCCCTTCGGGCCCTGGTGGTATCGACTGTCCTTCAGAAAACTTACAGCTGGCCTAGAGTTTGGGTTCAGGTTTGATTAAAAAAAAAACCAACAACAGTGTATTACCACATTACTGTGATTTGGTTTTTGGTTTTGTTTTTTTTTAAAAAAAAAGGAAATTGTGTGTTTTGGGACCTTTTCTGACCCTTTCAGCATCGATCCTAAACTGTCTGCTAAAATTCATGCAGCGGGGGTGATGCGGCCTCTGTGGGTAGGCTGCAGCTGTGCTCCAGGTGCCACCTCTTTGGGCATTTCTTTTTGTGCCTGAGGCCACTTCTTGTGATGATCAGCTGGCACGGACGAGGAGCCCCTGGCCCCCGCTCCTTTGAGGAGAATGGGAAGGGGGAAGTGCGGACATACACCCAGCCTGACTTCCACCGTCTGCCAGGGGATGCGAACCTTCACAGAAATCAACCCATAACTTTAGGAACAACCAAAACAATCTCCTTGGCATCTGTTAGGTGGTGTAGACTGCTCGCTACTGTGAGAATTAAATCCTTAGATCCTTAAAGTGGTTTCACTGTTTTTAAAACTTATTTTTCAGTTTATGAACAGAAATGTGTGCAATTACTGACACAACCACGGACAGTAATACAACAGTGTACTCGAGCATGTTTTAAAATAGAAGATTAAGACAGAGTGAAGGAGGTTTAATTTTTAAATGCACACTCTGTCATGCTGAAGAACCTACAACTTACAACTTCTAATTCATTTTTCACTGAAAAGTACAATTTATCAAAAATTCACTTATTTGCATTTACTGAAATTATGCTTAATTGATATGCACAGACTTGATATAGATAGCTCTTACATCAATTAATCTGTTTACTGAAAACGATAAATTAAAAGTAGTAGCAGTGTTGTAAAACACAGTCATGATCTAAAAATGTCCTAAGTAAGAAACAAGTGATTTCTTTGTTGTTCACATAGACTTTATGACTGAATTGCTTGGTCGAATTGCTAATGCGATTGTTGAAAACTACTATAGTGGTTTAGAAAAATGAGTAGGTTGAAGTTGTTGTCTGCTATTTCACTTTCCTGGAGGTGGCAACAGTCCGTAGTTTGTGACTGAGATAGGCAGCTCTGGATTTGGTTCCTTCTTTGGTCAAGCTGTTTGTTTCTAAGCTTTTGCTGACAAGTTAGGCAAACCATTTTTCCATCAAATAACTGACAAAGTTATGATGTGCTGGTAAAGTTAGGATAAATTGCACATACTAATTTTGCCTTTTTGTCTAAGAAGAAAAATTATGTTTGTATTTCATCATACATTATGGTAGTGCCTGATAGTGCATGACACTTTTAAAAATGTCCTTTATCTTAAATGGAGAAAACAAGAAAAAATTTAGGCCTCAATACTTCTCTGCTGCTATTCTGCTTTCTTTTTTTTTCTTGCTGCTAATTGGATTAAAAGCCATTTTGGTTACTATGGCATCCCGAGAGGAGATTACTGTCTGTGAAGATGAAGTAAGGTAAAAAATCAGAACTGTGGCATGAGCAGATTTGGAAAGATATCCGCAGTTCCAGTGGTCACTTGTGACTGTATCTAAACTTTAAAAATTACTTAAATGAAAGGATATCTTGCCAGATCTCCTCCCCATGGGTGTTTGTATGTGCAGTTGCATTTCTGAATGATGTAGGTAATGTTTATGAGAAAGATTACAGACAAATCTGTTAAAACAGATAATAGCTAAACTGGTCATCCTGATTATTCTTTAAGTTTAAAAGGCTAAAACACTTTCTCAGAGACCAATCAAAATACTGTATTTTAATGCCTGCCAAGAAATTGCAGAACTGTCCAGGAGCATCTGAATTCAAAGTATAATTTTGTAACCATACTACCACCTGAATTGAAGTTTTAGAGGTTATATATGGTTGTGGATATATATGTCTTTGTACAGTGTTTGTCAAAGTGAGTCTGTTTAACTGTCTGTTTATATTTTGTAATATTTTGTCATACTTGAATGTTCGAAAAAATATGAAAATATAAGCAGTTCTGTAAGCTTATTCTTTCAAGTCTCATTCGTCATTTGTAAAAAGTGACTCTCCCTGAAGGGCTAAAGCTTTGAACTATAGACATCAGTAATTGAACTCTTTCAGCAACAATTAATTTACTCTGTTGGTGTTTCCGTAGGTCTCGGTACAGCCACTTAGAGAAGATGACAGATTTGGTGGCTATTTGGGAAGTAGCTTTAAGTGATGGTGTTCATAAGATTGAATTTGAACATGGGACCACTTCAGGAAAACGTGTTGTCTATGTTGACGGAAAGGTGAAATTGCTATGTGCTCAAAATTCAGTATGATACAGATTATATAAGTGCACTTCCATGCAACAGGCATCAGAACAAACAAAAGACTAATAAATGCAAGTGAGCTATATTCAATTGATTAACTTTACCTAATTTAATGAACTGCATCATTCTTTTTTTCAGTTACAATTAAGGTGTGAGTATTCATGAAGTGCTTTGCTGTCCTTGGGCAGAGGCACTCTAGATGTACTAAGTATCATGTATTCGTTCATTCTGAAATAATAGTTAAGTACTGAGTTGTTTTCCGAATCCTAGTTCAATTTTTTTTATACTAAAACATGCATTCAGGTTTATCAATTAATACCCATTGTCTTTGTTGTATTCTACAGGAAGAAATAAGAAAAGAATGGATGTTTAAATTAGTGGGTAAAGAAACATTCACTGTTGGAGCAGCCAAAACAAAAGCTACTATCAACATTGATGCAGTCAGTGGTTTTGCATATGAATATACTTTGGAGATCAATGGAAAGAGTCTCAAGAAGTATATGGAGAACAGGTCAAAAACAACCAACACTTGGGTACTGAGCTTGGGTGGTACGGACTATAGAGTTGTTCTAGGTAAGTAAACACTGAATGACTTTATGTTCTGCCTTTGAATAAACTTGTATGCATTTAATAACTGGTAATTAAGAGAAAGCACAGTTCAGTGGCTACCACTGGGTGGTCTGGAAGTTTGGAATTAGATGCCAAAGGCAGTCTGAAAAATAATGGTCTTGTTACACCTGTGTGAGCCTGCTGTCAGTGTTCTGTTCTACAGCAGCATTGTCTAGTTTTAAAAAAAGACGGGGCGGGGGGAGGGGAGGTTGGAAGGAGTTACAGCTTCTATATCCATAGAGCTGCCCTAGCAAGACAGTTCTCCAGGTGAAGCATGTTACAGAAGTGTAATCTATGTTATGATCAAACCTGCTGTGTGTGTAAGTTTAACCAGCTAACCAGGTTTTCCTTCCAAAAATCATAACCCAAAGTCAAGGAGTCTTTAACTGAAGAAGTATGACAATGCTATTCTACACTTTTGATAGATTAATCAGCATCCTTTTTCCTGCATCACTTCTTAATTTTAATCTAAACACTTCAGATGATGATTTTTCACTTTCTTAATAGCAAGGCAATACATTCCTTCTCTTCTGCCTCCCTTTCCCAAATACATTACAAGCAGATGGGAGGAAGGGATCCCCTGAGGAATTTGTCCATGGCATCTAGTGGGAAAACTTCCATTTAGGTATTGCTGTATTGTTATACCTGGAGACAAGATCTTGGCCTGTGATTTCTTCTTAAGCCTCAGGACAGAATGAACTGCCCTAAGATGAAGGGGGGCAGGGAAGAAAGACAATTTCAATGCCAGAAACAGATTAGTCTCCTTACAGACTTTTAATCTCCCTATGCTTACTTAAAAGGCAAGCAGTGTTCAGCTCTCTACTGATGTCCCGTGGATGACAGTGTCAGTAATGTGAATTCTAGAGCACAGTAATTTAAGGAGGATGTGCTGGGAAAAGTAAAAGAATATTCTATTTTAAAAGAAAAAAATCCAAGATTGATATTTAAAGTGGTACTTGGGTTTTCAAGGAGATTTTAAGAATACAAAGTTTGATGGATGTTAAATAATGCTGCTTTTGAGTTAAACTGACCTGGAAAAAATGTTAGAGCTTCATTGAATGAACAGCACTCAAATAATTAGTAGAAATGACTTGATTTTTCTGTCTTCAAGTTTTTCAGTTTAAGAATGTCAGAATATCTCTGACAATATTCAGAACAACCCAGCGTTAATAGCCAGGGCTAGGGAGAGGTAAAAGAGGTATGTTCAAAGCAAAAGTTGTTTGCCCATTGATGACAGTGTCCCATCTCTCCAGTGTAAGAACAAACCCTGTAGCCTAGGTACTATGGCTAATTAGGAACTTCTTTTCACTAAGTAAAATTCAGCAGTAAATTTTTAAAATTCCTAGAACTTCTTGTCTGTAGGGGGGAAAAAAAATCTTGCTCTCTTTACTTTTTGTTTTCTTTTTCCTTCACAGAAAAGGACACTATGGATGTGTGGTGCAATGGTCAAAAAATGGAAACAGCGGTACGTGATCATTTCCAAAGGCTTTTCACAGGCTATGGCTAGATAACCAAAGCTTAGCAAAATAAGCCACAGAGGGGCGTGTTACCTCGCTTTACCACAGAGTATGAGCATACACCTAGGCAGCCAGTATGCTACTAGTCTGTTCCGAATGTCCTTTACTGTATTTTATAACTGACAGTATTTCAGTTAGGATGCCAAACATCTATCCATTTAAGAGTAAACAGTGCTTTTATTTACACTTTTTAGACAAGCAAAATAAATCTTCTGGGTCAGTTGTCCAGGGTTTTTAGGGAGAAAACTTTCCAGGGAGAGGGAGGGACTTGACTTTGATGCAGAGTGTAGAGCCACCTCATCCAAACCTGCTCATGTTAGCGGTGACTGGAAGTTGAACACATTGTCTGTTATGACTCACGATTTTTTCCATCTAGAGATGGTCCCTAATGCTTAGGGCTTAAGAGTCTCATTGGAACAAATCAAATCTTTTGTCTTTGTCACATCTGCATCAATTTTTAGAGCTGCTTGACAGCTAGAAGGCTTAATCTATTTGGTGTCTTTAGATTATGATGGCTTTCAATATGCATACTATGTAGGCTTCCACATCCTTGAAGGACGTGCTTTCTCACTAGAGAGTTGTCACTATGATTACTACTGCCACAAGTAATCCCCTGGATAAGTACAAATTGTAAAACCAACAGTTTTGCTGTACTTCAGAACAGGATGAAAAGATTCACCAAATGCTTCTTCAGTAATTAGTGGAAGAAACATCCTCTCTCAGCGAATCAGAACTTCAGCTCTTGATGGTTCTCAGCCTTTTCTATAATGTAGTAAATGCACTAGGAAGATATTCTTGCAAGCTACGAGTACGGGTTTAGTTGTCAAACTGTGCTTGCATTAAAGCAGCACACAGATTTTTCTACTCTCCCAAAGATGATGACAAAACCACAGCTATGCATGGCAAAATCTGTAACAGGAAATTACATAACTGCAGCAGGAGCTGTGTATCCAAAATACACAACTGTTATACTCAATTCAGGGATCTCTTCATCCTGCTGTAAAAGGCACCACTAAATACTTCATGTTTTACTGCCACTTCAGCATAGGTTTGTGTGGTACTTATTGGCTGTACTGCACAACTTGAAAGGAAACTATCTTTTCTATTTTTGTTTTACTGACATGGATCAACGATATGAATTCACACACTCCAACTTTACCATTTCTGATTATGTGAAATTTTTGTCATCTAATACCCACAAACCTTTAACTGGACATCTGGATAAAGTCCTATCTGAGATTCTGCAGCTTCGTTCAGCGTTTGCGCTGTATTTGTTGCAGGTACCTGCAGCTGCTCTAATTGTGGGATTTACAAGTGATCTTGACCTTGAAAACAGTCTGATGCACTCAAGCTTTTACTTTACTAAAATAGCACATGTCTGTTTTTATTCTTATCTCCTTTCTCCCAGGGTGAATTTGTAGAAGATGGGACTGAAACTCACTTCAGTGTTGGTGATCACAGCTGTTGCATTAAGGCTGTCAGTAGTGGAAAACGAAAGGAAGGAATTATTCATACCCTTATTGTGGATGACAGAGAAATCCCAGAGGCTGTGGAGTAGCCTCTAGTTAACTGATTATTGTAGGACTAAGTTCAGAAATTTTCAATTACTGTGGTAATTATTTTAATATGTACTACTTGGTACATCTAGTTTGTGCTGGGTTTATCTGTATATGAAATTATTCTTTTTGAGGACCAGATGAAAATAATTATATACAACTTCTTACATTACCAGTTTTTAAAAAACTATATATATATAGAATATATATTGTATCACTAAGTGCAGAAGACACTGTTGAACTTAAGTAGAAATTATATACTAGAAAAAATCTTGCTATAATAAAATGGAAGATAAATATTCAGTAAGACTGAATTCCTATAAACTGCAGGTGTATGCGGAGGGAGGAGGAAGCATGTGCTGGGCACTCAAGTAAACTGTTAAAAGTTTTCTCAGTAGTTATTTTTTCTATTAAACTGACTACCAACATTTTCAGATGCAGTGAAGAAGAGTTACAAAGTTCATTAAAAGGTTATTAATGAAATACATTGTTACCAGTACTTGTGTAACAGTTTAAAATAACACTGCATTATGAAAACTGTTCTTTATTCTGAGTAGGAGAAATGATGTTACATTGTGCCAAAAAAAAAAAAATTCCTTCACGTTTTCTGAAGACTGATGCTTGTTAGAAGTTGTTGCACTGGGTCAGAAACTCTGTACTGAGTTTTTTTAAAAGAGAAAACAGGAAAAAAAAAATCCTGCCACAAAACTCCTTTAGAAAATGAAACCTCTTGAAGAAAGCTGGAATAAGAACTTATTCTTGTTCAATGCTGTCTAACAAACCTTAAATCTACAGCTGTGTGTCTTCCTGGCAGTAGTGCATGAATCAAGAAACATGAGGAAAAATGGGACAGAAATAGAGGAGAAGAACTAGTTGCATAAATGGAAAAGTTAAAATAGATATAGACTAATTCTGTTGTCAAACTTCCAGCATACTATCTAAAAGCAACTTTGGGATTTCTGTGAGAATGAGACTTGTGTTAGCTGGTTCTTACAAGTTCACAGGGGGGTTTGCTCATTTAACATTACACTAGAGCATATAAGGCTCACACACGACAAAAGCTACCCTCTTGCAACAATGTAGACATAGCTAATCTTAAAAATAATTTTAAAAACCCAAACCAAATATTAATATTTTCATTTAAAAGTTTGTTTTGCAATGGTTAAAAAAACAATTTCCACTTGCAACCTCACTTTAGAGTTCAGAATTAGACTTTTATAACTTAATTTGTTTTGAACTTGTGAGTGGTTCCTAGCACTATGACTACTATCTTGGGAGTTGCAGGTACAGTACAAATGTGCTGGGAACTCATTAACAAATTATTCTGAAAAGTTTTATTAAACACTAATTTCACGTATGGTTTAGGGTTCAAGCTGCTCTCCATTAGCACAGTGCTTTACATATGCATGAAATGCCTTTCATATGGCAATGTTGTCGTTTTTTTAATAGTTTTATGCAAGCCCTTTTCTCACCAGATAATGACAGTTTTAACCCTAGGTGACTTTTCAGTCTAGCAGCAGACCTGATATTGACAGATAGGTCTTTATTTCTGTATAACAGCACTGTTATAAGCCATTTGGATGTTTAGTTAGGACCATAACTGGTAGTTTTAAATGCTTCAGATTGGATAAATCTGCTAGTAGCTTTTAGTTCAGGGCGGTAGATCTGTTTTAAACCCTGCTAACATCAGAAATAGTTTCAGGCTTTAGTACAGAAAGTTTCAAAGTACCTGAGAGCTGGACTGAATCTCCTTTTACATTGAAATGAGCATAATGGCTCTTAAGCTTTTCCATTTACTGGCTTCAGGTCACTACAGAAGCAACATGGCAATACCTAGCTACAAGGCTGACACTGTGATCTTTAAAAGATATTGGTAAATGTAGATTAACTAAAGAGCAATTTCAAGCTGTAGCTTGAACCAGTTCCCTACTATTTTGTAGCCTTTCAAAGAGACTGAACACATCTGCGAAATCTGAAGCTCAAATACAGTCCAAGTCATGTTCTTAAGACTATATTGAAAAAACAACAGGTCAGCTGATAGTGTTATTCATGCTTTTTATTTTGAATACATGTATCTACAATGCTTTGAATATCTTAACCAATAAAAACTGTAACAGCAACTACTATTAGAAATCATGAAGTATTGCCTCACATTTGTTGTAACTGTGTGTATTTAATGGCATGTCCCTAAGTGGGAAATGGGTGAATATATCAGGTGAAAGCTATTTAAGTCAAAAGAAAATTTAATCAAAGGCACAAAAAAGATTTCTTGGATTTCATTAACATATGCAATATCTCAGATTAAGAAAATGTAATGGAAGAATGCCAACCTATGTAAACATCAAGTTTATAGTGCCAGGCTCAGAACACTTTAAGGCATAAAGTACATGACCAGATAAACATTAAACTGTATTTTGTGATGCTTTCCGTTCTGTTTCCATTCACAGATAATTTTGTTCTAATCTCCTTAAGGTACTGACTTACTTTTTTTGTTCATGGATATTTCAGAGCACTTTGCACAAGGCACTTTGATCACAGCAAGTTACTAGGTAGAGCGTCCTCCTAAAATCTAAGTACTAGGCTTTGTTCTGAGGGGGTCTTCACAATAGCTACAGTTCTGATTAATGCTCACTCAGCATGCTGCTGGTTTCCTCAGAGGGCCGTGTACTTCTCCCTTACTGGGGAACAAGTCAACAAATATTGTGGAAGGGCCCCAACACTGTTGCAAATGACAAAGGTGTCAGGATTGTTTACATCATCTACTAAGCTGTCATATACCTTAATGGCATCCCGCTCCACTGCTGGTGGCATAATATAAGATGGCTTGCCTTCAGTGTATAAGCCTGTTAATACATCAGCCTCAAACACATACATTTTAGAGTCTGTTTCCCACATATCTTTACCCTTGATTAGGCTTTTTGGGTTCCTTTTAAAATAGATGCCAGCTCCATAATTTTGTTCTGGAAAAACAAAGAAAAATATTTAGAAGAAAAAAAAAAAAAGCCTTTAAGAATTGGTTCTTTTGGGGTGGTAGTACTAAGAGACTGCTTCTTGATTCAATATGACATTTTATGTTACTGCTCAATGCATGCCATCCTTTTGGAAGTAAATTTGCATTAAGTGGCTCTAATGCTAGCACTGACCTCCCATTGAAATCATAAGCAATGACAGCTGATGGCCATTCTGATTTTACTGCTACTGCAGTAGTGACCATTCACATTTAACTGTTAATCCAGTGATAGAAACATCAAGGTGTAATGTATTTATGTAAACACTTCAGTTATCATGTACTAGGATTCTGACAAGCACCAAAGAACGTAAGATTTTAGTAGTGCAAACTACAAAAAAAAGCTTTGAGATTTACAAGGAGAATACGGCATAAAATGCTATTACAGTATCATGGAAAAGTGCAAAGAAATTAAATTAGACCATCATTCTATTTATTACTTTGAAAGTGTGAAAATGGGCCATGTACATTGCATAGACAAGGAAAGGCAAATCTCCACTTTTTGAACAGTTTATTGCCTGAAATTCTGGCTCTGCATTTGACAAGCAAAACATCATGCCCTTCACCTGTTGCAGGATGAAGCGCTAAATGCTTATTCTTTCAATTTCTGAAAATATCTGTCTACTACAATATTCCATAGACACCACAACTTTCTTCCTAACTCTACTATAGTTTGAATGGCAGCCTGCTCAGATTATCTGCTGTCTCTGATTGCACCTGATTTCAGCAGGAGTTTAGTAGTTAGAAATACCTTCCAGCCTCAGTTATTCTGCAATTCTTTTGAACATGCTTTAAAGCATCAAGCTGCTGAACGCATGTTCACAGCAAGTAAATAAGGACATTTATTTTGTTGCATCACTCTTGAAAGAAAGTCAAACTTGGACATGGCATTGAGTGTATATTAACAATGCTGTCAACAGTGTCTGGGCTAGGCTAGGAATCCAGGCTTATCCTCCCAGAGCCTTACTGACTACGGTATCAGGAAGGAAAAACAGGAAAATCTTACTGTAGATAAAAAAAGTAAGATCATATGACTCTAAATGTGGGTAGGAAACAGTTCTTGTTTAGGAATGCCATTTTTTTCTGATTTTAATCCAACTTTAGTAGTCAGTCACTATTCATTTTAATTAAAGATGCCAAAGCAAGTTATTACCTGTTGGTGGAGAATACATCCTGTGAAATCCAGTTTGGCACACTGAGCTACAGAACTGAGCAGGAACGTGCTGGTACAACTTGTGGGTTATTTTGGAGGTACCTTGGTTTTCCTCTATTTTTTTTTTCATTTGTTGGAATGCAGCAGATAAAAGAGGATTATGTATCTTTTCAATCTGTAACATAAATAATAGTGTAGTATAAGCAAATGGCGACCAATATCCATGAAATCCATGGGTGCTCTTGTTTTGGCTATGTTCTTCAATGCAAAAACATTCGATTTAGCTTATATGCATTGACCGTGTAGCGGTTAAGGTATCTGAAGTGTGCAACTGATCCACAGGAGAAGAACCATGCCACTATCCCATGCCTCTCATTGAAATCAGTGGGAATATATCCTAGTGTACTGATTCCCAGTACTTGAGTTGTGCTGAACAGATTATCAACTACATGTATGCGAGAATAAGCTGTGTGGGTGCTTACGGCTTAATCTTTTAAAGAACTGTAAGGCACGGAGAACCTCAGCTCTTGATTGATCAAAATTTTACAGCTCTCAAGGCAAAAAAAGGTCTACAGATAAGAGGGGCTTTACGTTAACTTGTCTCTCAAAAGCATGGCTGCATGCAACATAACACCACACAGAACTTCAGGCAAATTGGCTACTCGGCAGCTCTCACTGGCATACCTGACTCTACCAGTGGGCTAGTCACAGTTGCTATGGCAAAAGTCAGTACCAGGGGCCTGCAAGGCCTCTTCTCTAGCAACCTGCTCATGCCAGACTTCTGACTGCTCAGATAAAAACAAGCAGGTGCTGAAACATGATCAAGCTTCTGCTCTCATAAAAGTAATTTGAGCTATGACCGATCCTCAGTGCAGTATTCTTTCAAATTCTGATGTAGCTTTTGCATTGAGACTCGACAAAGTCTTTAGTTCCGCAAATCAAGAAGCACTTGCTTTCATCTGATTGGTATTTGCTATTATTTCAAAGTTAAATACCTTTCTTGTATGAAAGGCAGTTTGGCACATGGCAGTCTGGTTTCCAGTTACCTGGTCTTAATTACTAGGTGCACAAATCCCTGCTTACAAACTTCTGTATTTCTCTGTGTTACACAGCCTCATCCTCCTCCTGTTCAGTAAAGCACTGATATCCAAGCAAGATCCCAGCTTCAACATGCTACTAATCAGATCATAACTCTGACAAATTCAGTTGCTAATTTTTGGTGTCAAGCTCACAAGAAGAAGACGGAGACACTGCATTAGTGTCCTGGAATATTGTATTCATTCTAACATACCAATCTCATATTTCTCTAGAGTCCTATAAAGGAACATTTGAAGCATGAAATAAGAGACAGAATATACAGTACAGTTAAAGGACTTCTCCGAATTTAACCACACTTTTTGAGTGATTATTTGAGTGATTATGTTTACTCCTAATAAAAAGTATTTTAAAGACTACATCTGTTTTAAAGATTAGGCTGATTTGATCTTAATTTTTAAAAGCAATATATTGAAGTAGTTTATCTGAGTTTTTTAAGCATGTTAAACATGTTAGTTCAACTGTATCAGCTGAGATTTAGCTTTTTCCATCAATACCCTCTTTACCTTGAGAACATGAAGCCCAGCTTTTTCAAACTGTTTCTGTCTGTCTTTAAACTCCTGAAGGTGTGACTCCACCAGTGAAATCTCAACATGTTTAGTAGTATTTGTCTTGTGAAGGTGTCCTTCTGAAAGCTGACCTGCTTCTGGTTGGCCTGGATACAAATAAGGGAGTAAAATTTCATACGTCATAATAACTGAAGCAAAGGCAAGGAGGAGGCATCCAATACTGTAGTTTGGTAGTTTAGTTAAGAAGAAAGAATGTTAAATATTCTCCAAAGTAATGCCAGAGGCTAATATTCAGAGGGACTGATTATTAATTTTTTCTACATTTATTAAAGAAAACCAGACAGAGAGGGAACCAAAGAAAAGCAATTTATCTTCTCCATTACATCTCTTGACAGCCCAACTTTCATATAACAGTATCTATATTGAATGACTATACAAACACAAGGAAAAGTTGATCACTCAGTAGCTTTTGTAATGCCACTAGTTCTATCAACTCTTAATGAAAGTCAAGGACTCTGCAGAACAAGTCCATTGGTGGGTCCTGCAACAGTGGTCCAGCTGTAGTTAGCAAAAGAGCTCAGCAAAGGTATATGTTAATTAAGTGCAAATTTTCTAAGTCTCCAGTGGCCAGGCTTTAATTTTAAGCTGTACTGGAGCTGGCTGTACAACAACGGCCAACCCCTGTATAAACTGTGCTCTGCTGGAAATATTGCCAAGTGAGTAACCAAAGCTAACAAATGGTCTTTCAGGGGCTTGTATGATAAAAGGACAGTGATATCGGTAATTAAAGCAATGCTCAGTATGTGTATGAACTGAATGCAATTCTGTCCACTCTCAGCAATACATAGATATATATTGCTTCATACTTGACCTTATTTAGGCACTTGTTCATTTAATTAGTCACTTATTTACTTTACATACCCATTAAGTACAGCAGTTCCTCTTGTTTGTCTGTAATCTTCTCTTGCACACGAAGCAGTAGTTTTTCAGCTGTGAGCACTGCATCAGTCACAGCATCAGGAGGGCCCCGAAATTCCAGTCTTGCTTTTCCATCTCTCACTTCTTCCCACATACATACACTAGAATGCTGCTCTCGAGATAGTTCTGCAAACTCATTTTTACCGAGGCTAAAAATGTAGTTGTTTTCAATAATAGCATAGTGACTTTTCTGAATTTGTACCACGCTTTTGATCCATGATTCTGCTGCTTCCAATGCTGTACGTGTGTTTCCTTTAAGTTCAATAGCTGGTTCATTATTTGCAGTCTCTTTTATGCTTTGACTGCCTGACTCTGTACCTACAAGAAAGGTTTTTTTAATTTATTTTTTTTTAATACAAGTGCATTGGAAGAGTGAAGGGCTTTCAAGTGCTGTCACAAATTTCTACATGTAATCCAAGATGTACAGTGCAAGGCAACATGCTACGCTTCTGGT